GGTGCCGTCCGCCACTGTGGCCGTGACGTCATCCGGCGTGTCCCCGTCCGTCTGCTCGTCGTCTGTCTCCACCACCGACGTCAGCTGGTCAGGCTGTTTGGCCGCTGCGCCGCCGACGCCGCCGCTGCCGCCGCGCATCTCTTCCTCCATTGCCAGCTCCCGGGCCGCTTCCTTTTCCGTCCTGTGTTGGTTCGGTAGTTTGTTTCATTGCGCATTTTTGTTCGTTATGTGGGTTTTTTTTTTTTTAATAGTTTTTTTTTTCTTCCGTATTTGTTTGTTTACTTGTTTGAGTATGTGTTTGTTCCTTTGTTAGTATAGATTATAATTGTTTATGTGTTTGTTCCTTTGTTTGAGTTGTTTTTATAATCGTTTGAGTGTTTGCTTATTATCTGTTTATGTGTTCGTGTATGTGTTTGTTATTTTGTTTGTGTATATTACAATTGTCTTTTTGTTTCCTGAATTATCTGTTTCTTTGTTTATGTATGTGTTTGTTCTTTTGTTTGTTCCTTTGTTTGTGTATATTACAGTTGTTCATGTGTTGGATGATTATCTGTTTAATTGTTTGTTTATGTGTATGTTTATTTGATTGTTTCATTTGCCTGCTTTTATATTTTTGGATACTTTGTTCAGTCGTTTGTTTAAGTGTGTGTTTATTTGTTTGTCTATTCATTTATTTATTTGTGTGTTCATCTGTTTGTGTATGTCTTGTTTCTGTTTATTTTTATGTGTATTTGACAGAACAGATATTATTTATGTGTTTATTCGTTTGTTTATGTGTGGGCTTGTCCGTTTGATTGTTCGTTTGTCTATTTATCGGTCTTTTTATTTTCAAGTACAAACATATTGTGTTTACTGGTGGGACAGAGAAGCGCCCAGAGCGAACTGAAGCCCCAGCGGGCAGCAAGCTTGACAGACAGGCGGGAGACAATGGTTCCATTCCCAAGTTGGTCATTTTTGACAAGTAAGTCTGACCGCAAGGCGGGCGGCCCCGGTTCCAATCCTTACAAGTGGTTTGTAACTAATTTGCATGCAAGCCTGGTCTTCCTGTTGGTTCGGTCATATCGAAGACGAACCATTCAAAGTTTCACATTTGAATTAATTGCAGAATGTTGAAAGAAGGCCTAAAACCCACACCAAAGCCGAAAGGAGTGAGAAATTATGTCAAAGTGCGCTATTTAGTAGTGATGATGATGATAGTAACAACAACAACAACACCAACAACAATAACAATAACAGCAACAATAACAACATTAATAATAATAATAA